CTGACGCGGGGTGTACGGGTGATGGGAGTGCCCCGCACCCGTGGGCCGCCCCCTGACGCGGGGTGTACGGGTGGTGGGAGTGGCCCGCCGGCGGTGTTTGGTGGGCTGCGGTGTCGCAGAGAGGCTCAGTGTCGGGCAGTTCGACGCTGATAACACGCCAGGACAGCTCGTCCTGACGACTGCTTGGCTCCAAACTAATGACGTCATCAGTGTCACCGGGGTGACCTGGCCCGTTACGTGACGTTGTTAGAACGTGACGCTCGATAAGACAATGTCGGCCATGGCCGGGTGTCCCTCCGACGTCTGACCGTCGGGCTTTGTTCACAGGCGAGCCTCTGGGGCCCTCCAGTCGACGGCTGCAGGTGAGGCCACGGCACGCCGCACGGCACTGCGCGCCCCCTCACCGTCTCTGTGTGGGCGGCGCTCGAGTTATTCATAATGCGCGTTTACAAGCGTATTCACAGGGAAGCATATTGGTCGGCAGTTTAAATCGTGCTGTCGACTGCAGTCATAGAGTGACATCAGACTGTGTTGGCCTCATAATTGTCTTATCGAGACGATACAGAGACGCTTTTCGCGTGGAGGACCGACCGCAGTAGTCAGCTGGCTGTGAGAGTTACCGGTGACCGACCCGGGTAGGACAGCGCCCGTCCGTTTGGTGACCTGACGGCTGACCTGACCTGACGGCTGACCTGACCTGACCTGCCTGTCGCTGTGGCCAGCCGGCGGCGGAGAGCGGCGGCACCGGATTGGTGAACGGTCAGCGACCCGGCTCCTCCGGCCCGACCAGCGCTGGCAAGGGGCGCAAGGGCAAGAAAAAGGTAACGGAAGGGACGGCCGGGCGGGGAGTGGGCGGTGTACTTGTTCGCTGGATTTATTGCAGCATGCTGGATGGCAGGAGCACTGCGGGTAATATGATGAGTATCAATTCAGACGAGTTGTATTTGTGTTGTCTGTCTGCCCACGGCTCCCAGCTATGTGACATTGTCCGCCCCGGAGTGGTGCAATTGTCCACCCGCTCACCGCTCACTGTATGTACCGCGGCAGGGTCACGAGGAGGAGCAGCTGACACAAAACGTGGACGGTTACCGGGGAAAGGAAGACCTGGAGGACCTCCTCGGCTTCATAGAGTCCGGCGACAAAAAGGACAAAAACGGCAACAAAAAGTCCGACAAGGCCAAGGAGGGCAAGAAGGACGCCAAGGGCCGCAAGCCGAGCGTGCGCTCTGGCGAGGAGGACCGCTCGTCACGCGGCGAGCGCTCCGGCGGCCGGGGCCACGAGCGTCGCCCGTCGGGCCGCGGTGCCACCAAGCCGGCGCCGGGCGGCCGCAGCAGCAGTCTGGAGGCCCGGCCGGCGCCGGCCGCCGCGGCCGACGGCGCCGCCGCCGACGGGGCTGCCGGCCGCGCCGACGGCACCAGTGTCTTCTGCGGAGACCTGGCCAAGTCGAGCCTCAAGAAGAGCGACTCGACGCCGGCCGGCCCCACGGTGGTGGCCTTCGACGGCGGCACGTACGTGAGCCCGCCGGCGGCCGAGCGCGACAGCGAGGGCTTCGTGCAGGACTTTTACAGCGTCACCACCGACTCGACCCCCATCGAGGAGACCGAGTTCCACGTGGTGACGCGCAAACAGCGGCGGCGCGGCGGCGCGCGCGCCGGTACCGCCGACTCGTCCCGGCCGCACGCGCTGCGTCACAAGACTAACAGCCTGGACGACAGTGCGCGCGCCGCGCCGGAGCCGCCGGGCCAGCCGCGGCGGCCCTACGTGCCCGGTCAGAGGCACGTCACCTCGTCCAGCGCGCCGCACTCTGAGCTCTCGGACAGCGACAGCGACGGAGCCGGTAGCCCGCCGCCGCCGCCGCCGCCGCCGTCCCTGGGCGACGCGGGCGGCGGCCGAGCCGGGCGCGCCTCACCGCCGCCCAACGCGATGCCCGCTACCGCTGTCGCCATTCCCGCCCCCGCCCCCGCCCCCGCCGCTACCGCCGCCGCTACCTCTAGCGGTGGCTCCGGCGGCTCCTCCTGGGCAGACGTGACCCGGAGCCGGCAGGAGAGCCAGGCGAGCGGGCCGGCCGCGGCGCCGACCCCGCAGCGCGCCGCCGGCACACGTGACGCCGGCACCTCCACAGACTTTATCGACGGCGTGGGGCCCATCTTCGGCGAGCGCGCGTCGCCCAGGGGCCGGCCGGTGGCGGCCGTGGCGGCATTCGTGCGCGGCGCGTCCGAGCCGGCCGACGGCCTCATCGGCGGCTCGCACCCGGACGAGTTCCCGGAGATTGCGCCCGTGCCCGCGCCCGCCGCCGCCGCCGCTGCTGCTGCCAAGTCGCCGCGCGCGGGGTCGGCCGCCCCGGCAGCCGCCGCCGCGGCGGCGTCCTCGGCTCCGGTCGCCGGCGCTGTCAGTGTTTCGCCGTCCGCGGCCGCCGCGCCCTCTGAGGACCCCGCCGGAGGAACGGGTGTCCCAGTGACGGTCCCCGCCGCCTCCGCCGACGCCCGAGCAGACAGGCCGCCCGCGGCGCCGGCGCCGGCCGCTGCGGCCGCGCTGGCCAGTCGGGACACGGGCAGTGCGGTATCGGGCAGTCCGGCCTCCCCCGTGGTGCCGACGGCGCCGTCCAGTGACGCGAACAATGCCGCCGAGCGGCCCGCACCCGCGGCGTCGGCCGGCCGGCGGACCAAAAAGGCGCCGGCGGTCACCATCCGAGGGACGCTGGAGGTCTCGGCGGCGCCCGGCGCGGCCAGTGCGCAGGTGCAGGGCATCCAGTTCGGCTATATCGACCAGTGCAGCGAGCCGTGTGCACCGCCGCCGGCCGCCGCCGCGGCCGCGGCCGCGGCCGCCGCTGTGGACGCGTTCTGTCGCCGGTTCCGGCCGCCCGTCGTCGACGTGAGCCGGTTCAACTGGGCTGAGATCGTCGCCTACCTCAGCAAAGGTGAGTCGACCGCGGCCGGAACGGGAGTGTGAGATGGAGCGCGGAGCTGGTGAATGTCTGGGAGAAGTTTGTGAGAGCGTATGTGAGCATTTTGCCCATACGTAATGCTCTGATATCACTGTAAAACGTTTGGGTATCGTTGCGCCCACTCTTCACCCTTTTCCTGGCGCCTCCTATCCTGACCTGTCACCACCGCAATTCTGCTAGCTTTACGCCGATAATTGATAATTTATGCGCTAATGACACGAATGTTCTGTTTTCTTCTTCTTTGTTTTTGTACTCAAATGAATTTGATCTGCATTTGCAACTCTGTAAAGGTCCCTATTTTCCGCTATTGGCAAAAGCTGCCCATAATGCATTTGAGCTCTTATTTAAGGTCTTCCGGCACATCATCCTGTTCTCCCATTGACACCTCTGACACACGCTTCCCTCTGACACCGGGTTTTCCATGTGACACCTCTGGCACCTCTTGCACCTTTGACTGACAGGTGTTTCCCTCTGACGACGGGTTTCGCTGTGACACCTCTGGCGTCCGCTCTGCCCGGCAGTTTATGAGGAGGCGGCGCGTGACCCGGCCGTGTTTTTCGCCGCGCGGCCGGCCATGCAGAACGGTGTGCGGCCTGCGGTGCCGGCGGCGGCGGCGCCGCTCTGAGTGCGGCCCGGCCCGGCGCCGGCCGCCCGGGCGCTCACCACGCCCTGCTGTGATCAAACTGTGAGCTCGGCGCGCCGCCGGCACAGGACGCTACCGGCGAGCGCCAGGTGTGTGCGAGTGTGTGTGTGAGTGGAGAGAGGGGCGGCCGTGGCCCGCCGCGCCGCGCCGCCCGCTGCGAGTCTCTGAGTGATGGAGTGTCCGCCGTGTGTTATGTGTGTCGTAGCCGTCCGTGGCCGACGGGCGGCCCTGCTCTGCGGGCCGGCCGCCAGAGACGGTGCCTGCAGGACTGACGGCGGCCGGCCGGCCCCAGCGCGGCGCTGAGCCGCCGGCGCCGCCACCGACCGGCAGCGGACCCGTGCACCGTGCCCAACTGCCGCAGACGCCGCCTTCGTGATGATTGTTGTTGCTCGTCGCTTGCTCGCTGTCATAGACTCCCCCGAATCCCATGGCATTGTTGTTCCCCTCGCCGGCTAGGAGAGATACCGAAGACGAGTTGTTGCTTTCATAAATACGTCTTTCCTGGACGGCGCGCCCTGGCCCGTAGGCACCTCTCGTCACTGTCTCGCTCGACTGGGTCCGTGCCTTGCTGTCGCTCCTGTTCATGACTATCGCTCCGGGAAGAGGCGTGCAATCTGAGCACTCTGATGTGCACAGTACCGCGTTCGCGTCGCTTGTTCGCTCTAAACCCGGCAGCCACTGCCCCCCACTCCCCGTCACCCGCCGTCGTTCGTCCCCTTTCAGTCGCTGTTGCTGCTGCCCTCCGCCATCAGTCGCTGCCCCCTCCCCCGTCAGTCGCTGCCCCCCCCCCGCCGTCAGTCGCTGCCCCCCCCCCGTCGCCCTCGACTGCCCTCCCAGTTCCTGCCGATCGCGTCCAGCCTGGTCTCTCGGCCGTGCGAACCCGTGATACTCCGAGCGTCCCCCCCCCCCCCCCCCGGCGTTCGCCAGTTGCCGGACCGCCCACGACTGAGTGTTCCCCGGCTGACCGGTGCTCCGGCGACCTCCGTGTCCCCTCGCGAGGACGGCCCGGGGCGGCCGCCCGCCTCCGCTGACCGGACCACGGCGGACGACGGAGCCCGCTCCGGCGGCAGCTGCCAGAGTTGTGACAAGCACGGCCACCGGCTGCGCCCGACACTCGTGTGTGAGAGTGGTTTTCTATGGCCGCAGTCAGATCTGTTTCTGTTCGAATGGTACACGCCGCGAGATTGGTTTTACGTTGCTATCCGAAATTTGGAACGTGAAATAAACATTGCATAATACTGAGGTTTGCATGTAGAGGCGGTTAAAGGGGAGCGGGCTGTGACGGCTGCGCTGTGCTTATTCCAGCCCACGATAAGTGCGTGTTGTGTTATCATCGGTCGCTGCCGTGCAGCCGTGCTGATGTGAGGCCCGGTGTGCCGTGTGTTGTCACCAGCCGCCCGCTCCGCTATGCACTGACAGCCGCGCTTCTGTGGTCGGCGATACGCCTGGTTTATTAGCTGACAACACAGCGCTGCCCGGCCGGGCCCGGTTCGATCCCCCCGGCGGCGCCGGCGGCGAACAGACTCGGCCCGACAGACAGCCACTGAGCGGCGGCGGAGCCCCACACCGCCGGCCATAGGGCCCCGCATCCGCCGGAGCACCTGGGCCGGCGCACCGCGGCGCTGCTGGCAGGACCAAGTACCTGATGGTGGACACGTCAGCCACCTCTCCCCTCCGCCCCTCCCGGCACCGCGCCGCCTCACATTGAGCCGCGGCGCGAGAAGCGAACAAGCTGCTAAAGCCTCCGCGCTATCGTAAGCTAAGTAATATAAACCTGGAATGTACGGCAGGGGCTCACACTCACACACATACGGATCGTAATAATCAGTGCACAGCCTTCCAATCAGGCGGGAACAGAGCAGCCGTCCTCAGCAGCCGGGCGCCGAGCTAATCTGGCGATGAGAGCGCGCTCCACTGCCGCTACAGACCGGCAGGAACGGCCGCGCCTACCCCGTCCCGCCGGAGACTCGACGGCGAACGGGGCTACAGACGGCGCGCAAATTCTACGGCAGAGTTCGGACGGTCGGTGCAGCTGTCTAGAAGGGCGGCAGAAAGGAGTCCGCAGTAGTGTGCTGAGATGCTCTCTGGAGGAAATTGAGCGGGCTTTGGCTTACATCCTAGTTCGGAGCGAGCCCCCTGCGGGGCTTCTGCCGGGTTTCCATGTCTGGCGGTGGGGAAGTTGGGAGTGGCTCAGCTGTCTGGACGGGCCTAGATCACGTGGTACTGCGGCGCGTCCCGGCCGTCTGCTCTGACCGGGACGGCCGGTTTCCCGGCCCCCGACATCTCCACCACAGCTGCCTTCGCCGGCGCCGCGGAGCCGGCGCTGAACAGCCGCGCCCCTGGCGGCCGGTCGGTGAAGTTCTGCTGCCCTGAGTCGCCGGCAGGGGGCGCGTCTGCGGGCCGGACGAGCGGCGGCGTGGGCGAGCCGTGTCCGTCGTGCAGGGCGGGCGGCGGCGGCTCGGCGCGGGCCGCCATCGCCTCTGTGAGCAGCTGGCGGTGCAGCGGGCTAATCTGACTCTGCCCCGACGACGTGGAGTGGGAGCTGCGCGGCCGGGCCGACCGCGACTGACCTGTGGGCAGCCCACCCGCCCCGGTCACTGCACGGCCAGGGGTCAAACAACCGCACACAGCGGCGCGGCGCCTGCCTGTGACTGACTGACTGAGTGAACTATAGGTACATAAGCTAAGCTAACCAATCACCAGCCCTCACCTGGTCACCATTGATACCCGAGGAAGGAATCTGTAGCTATGTAGGTACCTATCTCTATAACCAGTGACCTTCATCCCTTTCCAACAGAAAGCCATAACTCAGGGTCTGAAACCATGCAGCGGTGAAAGGTCATCTGAGCGGAATCGATGACGTCTGACCCGGGAGGACGAAACAGGCGAGCTCAATTTATCAGCTTCGCTCGGACGGGAGGAGGCTCATTAAATTTCCGAGCGGGCGCCCCGTCCGCCGGTCCGCGGTCGGCTCGTTTCTGTGGTGTATTTCAACCTTCGGGCCAAAAATACGACGGGTCATCAAGAGAAACACTGCGTTATGGAACGGCGCACCGCCGCGCCGGGCGACGCGAAAATAGAAGGAGACAGCAAAGGCACGAGTAGCGAATCCAACATTCACACTCCAAGATGGATCTGCAGTCTGCGTATACGGTAGGTATAGGTGCCATGCCAAAGGTGAAACGTCCAAACTGGCGACCTCCGACTGCCAGTGCCGGCCACTAACAGACCGTAGCTAGAGACCCCTGCAACCCTCAGTGCCCCTCCCGTGACCCTTAGTACCTACTACCCCCGCCGGTGACCCTCAGTACCATATACGACCCCGGTGCCCCTCCGGTGACCCTCGGTATGTATAGTCGACTACAGAATGATGTTCCATTTTTCACAGGCCTGGAATTACTTGCCTGGAGTGGTAGGCTGTGCCGCATCACACGAGCTGAGTTCACAAATTATAGCTTTGTCCCAATGTTCACTATCGACACGCTTAATTGCGTGATAAACGGCACAACTTAGCACTCCGGTCAACTGATAGCTTCTGAGGAGTGGAACATCATTCTGTAGTCGACTATACATACCACGCCCCGGTACCCCTCCCCGCCCTCCGCCAGCCGCCGTGCTGGTCGCTTACCGCCGCCGACGTTCTGGGTCACGGTGAAGGCGCGCGCGGTGTCCAGCGGCAGCGTCCAGTTGACCGCCTCGGGCGACCGCAGCGCCGCAGACGTCTCCGGTGATCTGACCCGGGTCGGCTCTGGCGGACTCTTCATCAGGGCGGCCAGCGCCTCGCGCGCCGCCGCCGGGCTCTCGGCTGGCGCCCCTCCGGCGGCGGCGGCAGTCGGGGGCCTCTCGCCGGCCGGGGGTCGTCTAACGGCCACGGGCCGGCCGCGCTCCTGACCGTCGGCCGAGGGCTCCGGCCGGGCGGCCACTCTCAGCGGGCCGCCCGGCCGCGAACCCGGCGACTTGCGCCGAGGCGGCGCCGGCGGACGGGCTGCGGATGGGCTGCGGCCCGACACCCCGTCCACCTCATCACCTGACAGCGAAGTGCCGAACACGCGTCACACTTCACCTGAGCCACGTCTATCACTTTATAATATGCAAAAATAATCTAGCAATTTTGTCAGTTTTTTTATGCTATATATAGGACCATATCGTACACGAAGGCTTTCTGTAACAAAACCCGCCGATTCAGATCTCCCGTCCTAATAGCGGTGTTCCCTGGATGTAGACTGTGTCGCAGGAGAGATGAGCCCTATACATATGTAGACTGTGCCGCACGACATGTTACCCCTGTATATAGTCTGTGCCGCACGACAGTTGATCCCTGTATGCAGACTGTGCCGCACGACAGAGGATCCCTGTATGTAGACTGTGCCGCACGACATGTTACCCACGTATGTAGACTGTGCCGCACGACAAGTAATCCCTGTATGTAAACTGTGCCGCACTACATGTTACCCCTTATGTAGACTGTGCCGCACGACATGTTACCCCTGTATGTAGACTGTGCCGCACGACAATCAATTCCTGTATGTAAACTGTGCCGCACGACATGTTACCCCTATATGTAGACTGTACCGCACGGCAGACTATCCCTGTAGGTAGGCTGTACCGCATGACATGTTACCCCTGTAGGGTAAGGTGCCTAATTAGCGACCCTTTCCTATTTGCGACCTACCTCCCTACAGAAAAACTGGCAGGAGAAAGCGGGGTAAAAACATTGTCAAAAGGTCTGCCGTACTTTGGGTATCAAATTAAAATATTTTCCGGTTGTCGGTGTTTCTGGTGGGACGATTCAGGTGAGTTTAAATAAAAATTACGAGTTTCTTATCCAAAACGTGTGTATTGGGGCCTTCTCTGATAAAAAGCGATGCACATTAGAATGATGCACCTCTTTTATTCTGAATTGACAATCCTTTTTCAATTGATTGTCGCTTTCCCATAGTGAATCGCTTAACAGTTAACTGTACACTGCATGGCGGTTAAAAATGTGTCCCAACTCATATTTCCTATTCGCGTCCGACATGGTCAAGAAGGGAAAGAAAGGGGAAAAGAGAGAAATGAAAATGAGGTTTTGCTGAAGCTTACAATGTGTGGCAGGGGATGCCAAATGTCGTCACCGACTGCATGGGGTGCCGAATCCAGCGCGAACCCCGAATATCATACGAGATAGCCCGCAAAATTCGGGTCTTCGTCTTCTTTTCGCCATCGGTGCATTACGTGATCAGTTTTTACTTACGTATACGTGTTGGATAAGCGTTCCTGTTATTGAGTGCTTTGCGTATAGGTTACCTTTTTGGGATCATATTTCATCTTTTCTGGCGTCGCATTTTTTGCCATTTTTAATATGGGAAAACCCATAGATTTATTAGCGACCCTCCCCGGTCGCTAATCGGGAAGAGTTCGTTCCCTATTAGCGTTTTTTTTTTTGCAATGGTTTGCTAAAATGCTCACTACAAATAAATTAATGGATATTGGGGCAGAAAATGACTATATATATGATAATATAAAAATGAACGATTTCTCCGAAAATCAAGCCAGTAATGCAGTGGCACCCATAGAGCGTGAGCAATGACGGTTCAAATTAAGGGGGTCGCTAATTAGGCACCTTACCCTATGCATGTAGACTGCACCGCACGACAGATGAGCCCTGTATTGAATGTGCCGCACGACAGGCTACCCCTGTATGTAGACTGTGCCGCATGGCAGCTAATGCCTGTGTAGACTATGCCGTATGTAAACTGTGCCGCACGACATGTTACCCCTGTATGCCGACTGTGCCGCACGACACGTGACCCCTGTACATGTAGACTGTGCCACACGACAGAAGACCCCTGTATGTAGACTGTACCGCACGACATGTTACCCCTGTATGTAGAATGTGCCGCACGACATGTAATCCCTGTATGTAGCCTGTGCCGCACGACATGTTACCCCTGTATGTAGACTGTGCCGCACGACATGTTACCCACGTATGTAGACTGTGCCGCACGACATGCGATCCGTGTATGTAAACTGTGCCGCACGACATGTTACCCCTGTATGTAGACTGTGCCGCACGACATGTTACCCCTGTATGTAGACTGTGCCGCACGACATGTGATCCGTGTATGTAGACTGGGCCGCACGACATGTTACCCCTGTATGTAGACTGTGCCGCACGACAGGTGATCCCTGTATGTAGACTGGGCCGCACGACATGTTACCTTCCCCTGTATGTAGACTGTGCCGCACGGCAAGTTACCCCTGTGTGTAGACTGTGCCGCACGACATGTAACCCTTGTGTGTAGACTCTGCCGCACGACATGCGATCCGTGTATGTAAACTGTGCCGCACGACATGTTACCCCTGTGTGTAGACTGTGCCGCACGACATGTTACCCCTGTATGTAGACTGTGCCGCACGACATGTGATCCGTGTATGTAGACTGTGCCGCACGACATGTGATCTGTGTATGTAAACTGTACCGCACGACATGTAACCCCTATTAGACTGTGCGGCACGACATGTTACCCCTGTATGTAAACTGTACCGCAGGACAGGGCATGGGTGTCTCGCATGCCTTTTGTCTGACTTAAAAAAAACTCAGGGATAACTTTGCTCTTTCAGTGTTTACGGCATTGACACGCCAACTATTTGTCGTTTACATGATTGTCAATCCTATTCGGGTTATGAACAGTACCTATGCCGTGGTCAGAAATGGTGGTGGTATTGATGTCAATCGCAAAGCCATTTACCAGTAGATGTTACTTTTTGCTGTCATCGAGTTATAACGGTAACACGAGTCATCTGATCAACACTGGTAGAAGACGATAAGTGCTGTCGGGAATATTCGGCCTGTGATGCAGGTCCTTTCCACGGTACTTTGCGAATGCTTATCAGCCCAACTACTGCAGTCTAGGTTTGAAAGGACGAGATTGTGAACGTTCGTTCGCTGTCCCGGCTTGTCGCTGCAGTGCACTGACCTGGCGTTTTAGCTCTGACCCGATGCGCGTTGCCGGGACGGGGCTTCCTCTCGTTGATGGGCAGTTTCATGGCGGCCTGCGGCAGATCGGATTCCATTACTCGGAGTGCGGCACACCGCGTCCGCGTCACGTACACCAATGACGTGGCGTGTTGTCGGAACGAGAGTACTCACATCAGCAGTGATACACACCATATATCGCTGTGTAGTGTGTATCTTACCGATTAACGCTTGCCGAGGGCTATTGTACGGCAGACCTTTTTACTGAACGCACATGGTCCTCATAGCAGCGATTATTCTCATGTAGCCCCCATAGGCCTGAATAAATGGAAGACTGTTAAGGGAAATGTATGCTCAGTCCTTTGGAACTCGGGAAGGGGATTACATACCATAATCGATCATACGACACTCAAATGGGGATCGTAAATAAAATCACGAAGTCCCGATATTACACATGGCGATGGGTCGTAAAATAGCCTTAACACTGAAAAATGATAATGCAAAATAGATGCTACTAGGGTTACCCGCGTGCTCCGCAACGCGAAGAAGGGTTGTTTTTGACCCGTGGATATTGGGTTGGTCTGTATCGATTTGGTTGGCATCCATTTCGTTCGATTGCTTTTTGACGGCCAAGCATTTTGTAATAAAACAAAAAAGATACATCGCATCGAGGTGCCCGTGTAGTATTATCATGCGTTCTACTTAAGAATGATTCGGAAACTGGCGTGAAGTCTTTTGAGGACCATCGCTTAATTTCGGTAAAAATGACTATGTAGTGGTTTGAAACATTTGCATTTTTTTAGAATATTGTTGCTCATCATGCAAAAATGAAGAGTGAATATAGGACAGAATTGAATGCTCTATCCAATGATACCATATTCAATTGCCAAAGGTATCAGATTATGCAGCAAACCCCGTGTGATTAATAAAGTGGCACAAAATTGACAAACACCATTTTCTCCTGTGATTTGCACCACCTTGATTTGGATCAATCAGCTTTTCACAATTTTTATATGAGAGGCGGTACCTTTCTCTTGCAAATAGGCGTTCATTCAACTCGCTCCATTTAACGGTCACCTAAAAATAAAATTAATTCCAAAATCCCTCAAAAACCGCAATTTTTCAAATAAAATGCCCTCTCCGGTGCACGTGGCGCGTGCTATCCTCTGCATTGCACACCATTCAATAGCCCGTTCAATTCTGTACACGATGCTGTTTTCCCCGTGCCGGTCGGACCCCTGGTCACCAAGATATTGCACGGGAACTGGACCCGTGTCGGCCAAAATTAGCCGTTTTCGCCCGATTTCGCACGCCGATTTATACATGTAAAATCTATGACGCGAATTTGCACTTTTTGAGCACGCACCACGCGCTCCCTATCAATCTGATCGAGCTGAGACCCCTCAAAGGCACGTCGCGCATCCTTGATCTATAAGTTGTGCAAATTTCACCGGGCTAGGTGCAACGGTCTGGCCTGTAGTCCACGCAAAGCACCACCAAGTCGGGACCTCGGTAACGGACAGACGCACCCTCCTCAAATAGTAATATAGACAAGCGGCTTCGCCGCTCGCTTTGCGTCGCGGAGATTTGGTTTGCGCAAAATTGGCCAGTTCGAAAAGTGAAGGTTTCACGTTAGAGTGACTTCTAGAAGTCTAGATATGCGCAAAAGAGTGTTTAAGTGGTTAATTTGAGGTCGAAGGGGTCATTTGAGGTCACAGGGGTCAAATAAGGTCACCTTGGGTCATGTCAGGTCAGGTCAGGTCACGATAGGTCATGCCAGGTCACAGGGGTAGCTTAGGTAACGATAGGTCACCCCAGGTCACGATAGACCAGGTCAGGTCACGAAAGGTCACCCCAGGTCACGATAGGTCACCCCAGGTCACGAAAGGTCAGGTCAGGTCACGATAGGTCATGCCAGGTCACAGGGGTTGCTTAGGTCACAACAGGTCACCCCAGGTCACGATAGGTCACGTCAGGTCACCATGGGTCATGCCAGGTCACGATGGGTCAGGTCAGGTCTCCGGTCAACTCGGATCATGCAAGGTCACAGGGGTCGCTTAGGTCACAATAGGTCACCCCAGGTCACGGGTCACGATGGGTCAGGCCAGGTCACAGGTCACCTAAGGTCATGATAGGTAAATGCAGGTCAAACTGGTCACATTAGGTTAGGGCAGGTCGATTAGGTCACGATGGGCCAGGTCAGGTCACTGGGTTGACCTCAGGTCACGATGGGTATGGCCACGGCACAGAGGTCACCTAGGGTCACGATAGGTCAAGTCCAGATCAAGCTGGTCACGTTAGGCACGGTCAGGCCATTTGGGTCATATGAGGTCACGATGGGTCAGGGTAGGTCACAAAGGTTTCATGAGTTGGGCATTGAATCTGGAATCCAGCACTGTTTGTTCCAGGCCGATCTGACGTTTAGAAGTTGAGATATTGGAGAAACACCGCATAAGTACTTGGTAGGTACTTTGTATAAGTACTTGGTAATTGTCAGAGTACTTGGTACTTGGAACTTGGCAGGGCATAAGATTTGGAATCGATTAGTGTTGGTCCCGTGTAAATCGGACTTATGTGTCCCCGCCCGCTGCTTACAAACTCAGGCCAGCCTCCAATGACGTCACTCGAGGCCGCTGGACAAACCGCCTATGGAGATTCGTGGCGTTACGCTGTGCAGCAATTAAAACAAATCAAAGAGTCAATATGCGCTGAAAATAAGCCTAACTCGCTACTTTATCTTTTCAATTCAAGAAAACATAAGCTGCTACCACAGGCCCACAGCACTCTTGCCATTCGCACACAAATCTTAAAAACTTTGTCCTAACCACCTGTCTAGTACTCGCGCCACTTACTGCTAAGTAGGTACCTAACCATGCTGAGAAATGAATTCAGATTCCATTCAGCTTATTTCAGCACAATTTCTTCGTCTTCGTCTTCGTCTTCGTCTTCGTCTTCGTCTTCGTCTTCGTCTTCGTCTTCGTCTTCGTCTTCGTCTTCGTCTTCGTCTTCGTCTTCGTCTTCGTCTTCGTCTTCGTCTTCGTCTTCGTCTTCGTCTTCGTCTTCGTCTTCGTCTTCGTCTTCGTCTTCGTCTTCGTCTTCGTCTTCGTCTTCGTCTTCGTCTTCGTCTTCGTCTTCGTCTTCGTCTTCGTCTTCGTCTTCGTCTTCGTCTTCGTCTTCGTCTTCGTCTTCGTCTTCGTCTTCGTCTTCGTCTTCGTCTTCGTCTTCGTCTTCGTCTTCGGCTCGGCTCGGCTCGGATTTCTACAATTATATTTATATAAATTTATACGTATATAGACAATTTTGAGCTTACCCCGAAAAAATGATGTACCTAGGTATCCATTTAAAAGCATTTCAGAACAATAAGCTTCTCAGTTTGGAATGTTTTATAACCAAGCTCAATTTAGCATCATTTTATGATAATATTTTCAAAAATCTTGCCCACATACCTTTCTATATCCATGTGCAATAATATTTGAAAACTTGGGAACACCGGCGCTTGATTTTCTACTTAAATACTAAAACTGCGACGTTGGAGCCAGTCATCATCGGAGCCAGATATCAACTGTCATAGTAAAAAGAGGACAAACGCCATACTTGAAAGTTAAATAATTAATTAAAGCAAAATATAATCTACATTTCATCTCCTTACCGCACGAAAATCTTGAAAACTTTATCCTATCCACAGTGTACTGATCTTCTATTTATGTCCTTTCCGAGATCAACATTGCACAAAACAAACAACCGCGTCGCCATGACAACCATATCAAAGTGATAATTCTATTGCACGAAAAAGCCATACCCAGTTATTCAAACTTGATAATTAAATTACAGAAATGTTTTCAACTACATTTAACAGTTTTTTTACTTTGAAAAGTATTAATTTCGCTCTTTATAAGTCTCGTCCCCTTCATGACGGCCAATCAGCGCGCTTGGACGAATGACGTCACATGTGCAGCCCGCCTATGCCGGCGGCGCGCTTTGGCTGTGGCGACACCAGTGGCGGTACACGACTCTCTTACCAATGAATTTCTGTCAATTTCAACGAACCGATTTTCACGAAAACTATCCCACAGCATTCACGACACTCACTTTTACGTCTTCGATTACTTTTCTGGACACTTGCACTTGATTTTCTATTTATTTGCGAATTTTCAAAATCGCGTACCTTCAATCGCGTACCATTCGCCGGCCGCGCGAATGGCCGGCCGGCCGTGCCTCTCAATCACATCGAAATGATTACTTTACTGCACAAATCGGCCTGGCCCGTTAATTTAAACTTGATTATTTAATTAGAGGAATGTTTTAAACTACATTTAACGTGGTTGCAAGCGTGAAAAGTATTAATTTCGTTCACATCTAGTGCCGTTGGCTATAATGGCGGCCGTTTCGGACATCGATGGCATCGATGGCCGGCGCGGAGCGGGGATCCAGTCACAACTAACGGCCTTGGGATGAATTCTGGTATGGATTTTGCTAAATTGAAAAGTATGATGTATGGCGCCATTTCTTCTTTACAGATGTTTTAGAATTAATTTGTTGATTTGAATAAAAGAGTTGTGCTAGGCAAAATATACGTGTTTGTCGTACTTTTTTTTCGCAACCTAGTATATACCAACGTTGGTAGCTACCAAATCGAGAGAGGGGGAGAAGAGGGAGATTTGAAATTTTCGTTTATTCGACGGTGGCAAACAACTTGCAAAAATCGTCTCGTTTGATTCCATCACATCGGACATGGTCATACGGCTTTATTTCAGCCACACTCGTTTCTACTAACCTGCACGTCTGGTCGTTTCTGCGCCGCTGACGGAGCCCCAGTCGATTCCGCACGTGCCGTAGGACGTCTTTCTGCGTAATGCAAAGTGAATGCGTCTGTCACGTCCTATCTCGCAAGCCCCAAGAGAAAAAGCTCGCTTAAAAAACTGAGCCCTTCAAAAAACCCGCAATCCTACTCAAATAGTATTTAGACAAGCGGCTTCGCCGCTCGCTTTGCGTCGCGGAGATTTGGTTTGCGCAAAATTGGCCAGTTCGAAAAGTGAAGGTTTCACGTTAGAGTGACTTCTAGAAGTCTAGATATGCGCAAAAGAGTGTTTAAGTGGTTAATTTGAGGTCGAAGGGGTCATTTGAGGTCACAGGGGTCAAATAAGGTCACCTTGGGTCATGTCAGGTCAGGTCAGGTCACGATAGGTCATGCCAGGTCACAGGGGTAGCTTAGGTAACGATAGGTCACCCCAGGTCACGATAGACCAGGTCAGGTCACGAAAGGTCACCCCAGGTCACGATAGGTCACCCCAGGTCACGAAAGGTCAGGTCAGGTCACGATAGGTCATGCCAGGTCACAGGGGTTGCTTAGGTCACAACAGGTCACCCCAGGTCACGATAGGTCACGTCAGGTCACCATGGGTCATGCCAGGTCACGATGGGTCAGGTCAGGTCTCCGGTCAACTCGGATCATGCAAGGTCACAGGGGTCGCTTAGGTCACAATAGGTCACCCCAGGTCACGGGTCACGATGGGTCAGGCCAGGTCACAGGTCACCTAAGGTCATGATAGGTAAATGCAGGTCAAACTGGTCACATTAGGTTAGGGCAGGTCGATTAGGTCACGATGGGCCAGGTCAGGTCACTGGGTTGACCTCAGGTCACGATGGGTATGGCCACGGCACAGAGGTCACCTAGGGTCACGATAGGTCAAGTCCAGATCAAGCTGGTCACGTTAGGCACGGTCAGGCCATTTGGGTCATATGAGGTCACGATGGGTCAGGGTAGGTCACAAAGGTTTCATGAGTTGGGCATTGAATCTGGAATCCAGCACTGTTTGTTCCAGGCCGATCTGACGTTTAGAAGTTGAGATATTGGAGAAACACCGCATAAGTACTTGGTAGGTACTTTGTATAAGTACTTGGTAATTGTCAGAGTACTTGGTACTTGGAACTTGGCAGGGCATAAGATTTGGAATCGATTAGTGTTGGTCCCGTGTAAATCGGACTTATGTGTCCCCGCCCGCTGCTTACAAACTCAGGCCAGCCTCCAATGACGTCACTCGAGGCCGCTGGACAAACCGCCTATGGAGATTCGTGGCGTTACGCTGTGCAGCAATTAAAACAAATCAAAGAGTCAATATGCGCTGAAAATAAGCCTAACTCGCTACTTTATCTTTTCAATTCAAGAAAACATAAGCTGCTACCACAGGCCCACAGCACTCTTGCCATTCGCACACAAATCTTAAAAACTTTGTCCTAACCACCTGTCTAGTACTCGCGCCACTTACTGCTAAGTAGGTACCTAACCATGCTGAGAAATGAATTCAGATTCCATTCAGCTTATTTCAGCACAATTTCTTCGTCTTCGTCTTCGTCTTCGTCTTCGTCTTCGTCTTCGTCTTCGTCTTCGTCTTCGTCTTCGTCTTCGTCTTCGTCTTCGTCTTCGTCTTCGTCTTCGTCTTCGTCTTCGTCTTCGTCTTCGTCTTCGTCTTCGTCTTCGTCTTCGTCTTCGTCTTCGTCTTCGTCTTCGTCTTCGTCTTCGTCTTCGTCTTCGTCTTCGTCTTCGTCTTCGTCTTCGTCTTCGTCTTCGTCTTCGTCTTCGTCTTCGTCTTCGTCTTCGTCTTCGTCTTCGTCTTCGTCTTCGTCTTCGTCTTCGTCTTCGTCTTCGTCTTCGTCTTCGTCTTCGGCTCGGCTCGGCTCGGATTTCTACAATTATATTTATATAAATTTATACGTATATAGACAATTTTGAGCTTACCCCGAAAAAATGATGTACCTAGGTATCCATTTAAAAGCATTTCAGAACAATAAGCTTCTCAGTTTGGAATGTTTTATAACCAAGCTCAATTTAGCATCATTTTATGATAATATTTTCAAAAATCTTGCCCACATACCTTTCTATATCCATGTGCAATAATATTTGAAAACTTGGGAACACCGGCGCTTGATTTTCTACTTAAATACTAAAACTGCGACGTTGGAGCCAGTCATCATCGGAGCCAGATATCAACTGTCATAGTAAAAAGAGGACAAACGCCATACTTGAAAGTTAAATAATTAATTAAAGCAAAATATAATCTACATTTCATCTCCTTACCGCACGAAAATCTTGAAAACTTTATCCTATCCACAGTGTACTGATCTTCTATTTATGTCCTTTCCGAGATCAACATTGCACAAAACAAACAACCGCGTCGCCATGACAACCATATCAAAGTGATAATTCTATTGCACGAAAAAGCCATACCCAGTTATTCAAACTTGATAATTAAATTACAGAAATGTTTTCAACTACATTTAACAGTTTTTTTACTTTGAAAAGTATTAATTTCGCTCTTTATAAGTCTCGTCCCCTTCATGACGGCCAATCAGCGCGCTTGGACGAATGACGTCACATGTGCAGCCCGCCTATGCCGGCGGCGCGCTTTGGCTGTGGCGACACCAGTGGCGGTACACGACTCTCTTACCAATGAATTTCTGTCAATTTCAACGAACCGATTTTCACGAAAACTATCCCACAGCATTCACGACACTCACTTTTACGTCTTCGATTACTTTTCTGGACACTTGCACTTGATTTTCTATTTATTTGCGAATTTTCAAAATCGCGTACCTTCAATCGCGTACCATTCGCCGGCCGCGCGAATGGCCGGCCGGCCGTGCCTCTCAATCACATCGAAATGATTACTTTACTGCACAAATCGGCCTGGCCCGTTAATTTAAACTTGATTATTTAATTAGAGGAATGTTTTAAACTACATTTAACGTGGTTGCAAGCGTGAAAAGTATTAATTTCGTTCACATCTAGTGCCGTTGGCTATAATGGCGGCCGTTTCGGACATCGATGGCATCGATGGCCGGCGCGGAGCGGGGATCCAGTCACAACTAACGGCCTTGGGATGAATTCTGGTATGGATTTTGCTAAATTGAAAAGTATGATGTATGGCGCCATTTCTTCTTTACAGATGTTTTAGAATTAATTTGTTGATTTGAATAAAAGAGTTGTGCTAGGCAAAATATACGTGTTTGTCGTACTTTTTTTTCGCAACCTAGTATATACCAACGTTGGTAGCTACCAAATCGAGAGAGGGGGAGAAGAGGGAGATTTGAAATTTTCGTTTATTCGACGGTGGCAAACAACTTGCAAAAATCGTCTCGTTTGATTCCATCACATCGGACATGGTCATACGGCTTTATTTCAGCCACACTCGTTTCTACTAACCTGCACGTCTGGTCGTTTCTGCGCCGCTGACGGAGCCCCAGTCGATTCCGCACGTGCCGTAGGACGTCTTTCTGCGTAATGCAAAGTGAATGCGTCTGTCACGTCCTATCTCGCAAGCCCCAAGAGAAAAAGCTCGCTTAAAAAACTGAGCCCTTCAAAAAACCCGCAATCCTACTCAAATAGTATTTAGACAAGCGGCTGCGCCACTTGCTTTGCTGCGTGGTAGGAAAAAATTGCGGCACCAGCCAATTTGCTTTCGAATGATGTTCGATTCAAATCGATGTGTCGTCTAGAAGCATAGATATGGACGGAAATGTGAAGAGAATTTAAAAAAGAACTGTTCTGAGGCCTTTGTTGGATGAAATTGGCTGATACGGGGTCAAGACGGGTCAAAGGGGTCAGCCCCGGTCACTTTGGGTGAGGCCAGGTCACAAAGGTCACCTCGCGTCCGATGGGATCAGCCCGGGCCACTGTTCAACTTTTGCCTCCACCACTACCCCTTCCCCTACCACTACCCCTACCACTACCACTACCACTACCCCTACCACTACTACTACCCATACTCCTACCCCTACCACTACCTCTACCACTACCCCTACCACTGCCCCTAGCACTACCCCTACCACTGCATCTACCACTACCACTACCCCTACCCCTACCTACCACTACTACTACCCATGTTCCTACCCATACCACTACCCCTACCACTACCCCTACTACTACCCCTACTACTACCCCTACTACTACCCCTACCACTACTACCCCTACCACTACCCCTACCCCTACCCCTACTACTACTCCTACCACTACCCCTACCCCTACCCCTACTACTACTCCTACCACTACCCCTACCCCTACCCCTACCCCTACCTCCTAGCACTACTACTACCCCTACCACTACCACTACCACTACCTACCACTGGGTCATGTCAGGTCACATACTAATTGGATCCAATAAATATTTTTAAAAAATCAGAATTTAAAAGATCTTCTAGCACCGCTCCTATTCGTTCCATTCCATTACCCTTAATCGATTTTGTCGGGAATAGCGCTTTGTGACAAATGTGGCGTGTTACGGCAAACGCGGTGCATATTCACCCGGTGATTGAGCATGCATCTTTGCACCAAATTACACCCATATCGGACCATATTTGACAAAACTGTGCGATTTGCGGCAAAAATGACGCCCTGAGATAATTGTTGCGCATTCCGGCAAACGCGGCGCATCTGTACCTGTTGGTTGAGCATGCATCCTGGCACCAAGTTGTACCCTTATTGCAGCATATTAGATAAAGTTGTGCAATTTGCGGCAAAAATGACGCCTTGTGACCAATGTGACGCATTGCGGCAAACGCGGTGCGTTTTTATACTTGTATCACAAACTCTTCCCATTGAACGAAAATCAACACATTCTCTCGCCACTTTTTATTCAAATTAAAAACCTGCCCATCCGCCAATGCGAGGCACCCGCCACCGATCGGCATGCATTTAGCTCACAAAGTTTGTCGACCCCGGCTCTCAATGAAGATCTACGAAACGATCAAAATTTCATTGGTGTCCTTCCAGCGCGCCTCACGCGCGAACCGTGCACCCCAGCGAGTCGGAAC